TCATTTTTTATTTTTAAACAAATATTTTCAATTTTACGCAAATATTTGGCTAAAATCCAATTGCTAAAATTCTTTTGTGTGCGGGTTTCTTTTTCTTTATTATTTTTTTCCAATTATCCTCTTTTTTTCCTCTTTACCGATTTTATGTCGATTGTTTTTTTTGATATACATACGAGTATGTACATATTTATTCGAAAATAAAATAAAAAATTTGAATATTGAGATTCTCCCCACAAAAGAAGAACAAAACAAAAAAAGCGAGAAATCAACCATTATTGTTCAAAAATAAATAAATAAAATCGAAAAAAAATTAATATGATGAAACATATTTCAAAAATTAAACCAGACATTAATAAAGAAAAAAAATATTAAATAAATATGCAAGTATATACTTATGAATATAAAGTAGTATAGAAAGTGTTTAATTAAATAATAAAATTTGTATATACTTAAATAGTAAACAAGATAATTAAGTAAATATTTATTAACCACAAATTTGATCAATATTGTCGAAATTTGAATTTTTCGAAACAGAATCCGATTAGAAATATTTTTTTTTTTCTACTTAATTAAATTTTATTATTTTATTATTATACAATTGATAAAATTGTCTAATTTTTTAATATTATTTACTTAAATTTTTAATTAAACTTTCTACTTTTTCTATTCAAATACTTTTATACTATAATAAGTAGATATTTTACTTAATTAGAAATTGCAAAATTTTTTCTTTGTCTTAAATAAGCAAATTAATATTTAAACAACTCCTTTAAAATACACATAATAGACAAATTTATATAATTTTTATTTGTATTAAATAAAATATTGTTAAATTAAAGAAAAAGAGGTTTTTATTTTTAGATTTTTAAACTATTTAATTAATTAATTATTATTTTCGTATAATTAAGTAAGTAAATAATCTTAATTAATTGTACAACTAATAAACTAAAATAAAAATAATGATGATTTAAAAATTAATAAAAATTTTAATTGAATTTCGAATTGATTTTCGAAAATTAATAATTCCGAATTTATTTTCGAAAATTACTAATTTCGAATCAAATTTCGAAAACTAGTAATTTCGAATTTATTTTCGAAAATAAGTATATTCGAATTAAAGTATTTTAATCATATTTTCATTTTACAATAAATTCGATTTCTGCATAGACCTATTAAAACATACATACATACATAAGTGCGAAAAATATTTTTGCAAAAAAAAAACCCAAAAGATGACCTAGAATCTTAAAACGATTTAAATATACTATACACACATACACACATGTGTGTATATATAGGCGCATGCATATTTTATTATGACATATTTTCAGTACTACCATCGCTTAATGTCATCATCATCATTTCTGTCATCTTTCACAATGAATTGCTGAATGAAAATTAACATTTATTTTCTTCTCATTTTTTAATTTTAATTCACAATAAATTTATTTTTATTGCTTTATTTAAAAAAAAAATGTGTGCATATACAATGTAACAACTACTGCTAAAGTTTACTTGCAACGTAGAAGAGATTAAAAAAAATTTAAAAAAAAAATGATTATTTTTTTAACATCTTTTTTGGATTCTCGTGTCCACGCGCCGTTTTTTCCCCCTTTTACTTTATAGTTTTAAAAAAAAAATTTTTTCCTCCTCATATACCTACTTCATAAACTGAACAGAACTGAATAAAAAAAAATTGCGATGTTTTACATTTTTTTCACGTTGTAGTTTTGATTTTTTTTACGTGGTTTTCGCTTTTTAAAGATTTTTCTCATTTTTATTTTCTTTTACGTTTGTTTTTGCTTTTTTAACGCTTTCATCTTATTTAGGAGAATTAAATTGTTTTCACCTACTACAAAATTACTCATTCCATTAATGATTTTTTATATTTTTTTTTATTAAAATGTCTAATACTTGGACTTAAAAAAAATATAAGAAATTTCTTAATTTGAATACAATAATGGTATTTAAATAACAGCGAAACGCAAGTAGTAAGTAATAGAGGCGGTTTGAATTTTGTTTGTATTGTTTTTTTTTTCAGAATTGCCCTCTTTAGAAATTTTGTTTCTTTTACATTTATGGCAATTCTTATTCACTGTTTATTTTTTCTGTCAAGTAATTATGTAGGAATAGTTTGTGTAGTACGTAAATATTTTAGTTATAGATGGCGTAACAACAATCTATTTCTGATTAAAAATACGCTCTATAAGTGTACGAATAATTTTGATGAGTTTTTTTTTTTGATAGATTGTAAATAACATTTGTGTGTATGTAAGTAAATATGTACATTTTGCAAACAAAATTTAATTACAAATAAGTGAGAACAAAGATTAAAATATTAAAAAAAAAAAATTGCTTATACTTGTTTGGATTTTATGGTAAAAATACGTTGGCTGATCATTTAGTAAAAGACTCTTGATTATTTAAAGTATATTTATATAAAGATATTTAACTAAATTTGCATGTATGTATATACACAAAAATATAGAAATATTAAGGTAAATTAGTGAGAGAGCAATTTGAGTAAAATTATATTTTCAAAAAAAATATTAATATTAAAAGTAACTTGCAATAGGTTGCTATAAAATACGCTTTAAGAGAACGAATCTTGTTCTGAAATTTAAAGCAACATCTTCTTTTAATTCATTTAAAAACTATTTTGATAATATTCAGTTATTTTGAAATCAGAAATGACAACTTAATAAATGACATTTTAAAATTGATTCAATTGCTAATTTAATTTCCATTAAAAATTTATTTTTACAAATTCAAAGATCAAAGATATTTAAAATATTGCCGAAACTTATACTTAAATTGCATTCTACTGTTTATACACAAAACAGTAATTTCTAATCCCTTAATTATTTTCAATTTGTAATATGATATTTGCGGTCTTCTCTTTAATCTTTTCATTTATATGTACTTATTTGACAAGCGATGTCATTTAAATATTTGCTACATAATTGAAAATATTTTAATGCATAATATTAAACACTAATTCATTATCAACAATATGTAAATGTCAAGATTTATAAATTTTGACATTTCTAAATAACAAAATATCAAGTGTCAAATTAGAAAACTGAAAAGAAAAAAATTTTGTTGAGTAACCCTATATGAAATTAATGTTTTTTTTTGTTTGCTTTGTTAAAATGCACTATATTACGGGGGTTTGCACATAGATAATTTTATAATTCTAGTTTTGATTAATTTTTGATTTCATTTTTGTTATTTTATAATTTCACGCTTTAAATCGTTCAATCAATTTAATTTTTTGGTTTTGTGATATTGAATTACAACCGCCATCTACTTACTAATTTAATATATTATATTATGTAAGTCAAATATAATGCTATGTATGTAACTATATACATACGTATATTATTGATTTAAGTATCTTTATATTTACCCCTACAGATATTTTTCCTCGAGATTTCCAAAAATGTTACAATGTAGCCTTAATAATATTATTTTAATTAAAAAAAATTAAAATCAAAATAAAACGTAAATCTCATCATACCATGATTTAAAATTTTTGAATGTTAATACGAGTATGGTGGCGTACAATGAGCAAAAAAATTATGCGCGCAATTCTCAATATTTTTCGTTTTATGTATGTATTTCAAACTATTTTGTATGCATGCGTTTATGTACCGGCACATTATGTTGCGGATATTCAAAATATGACATTTTGAGTTTAATAAATGTAGGACAACATTTATGTCGCATATGTGAACTTTTATACATTGAACAAAATTATGTGTTAATATTAACATTGTATGTGTGGAATGAATAAATTTGATATTTATTTTTCTTATACAAAATTCAAATGAATATATTTGCTTTCATTTTGAAAGAATATAAAAATATAATAAAATATGAAGAAATTGTGGGTTGCTTTCAAGTTTAAAAATTGTAAAAAAAAAAAATAAAAATTTTAATTGAATTTGATTGTTGTTTTGCACCCCAAAATATCAAAAGATCAAGAAAATCAAAAAAAAAAAAACATGACTGGTCATAAAATGTGAATGCATGCGCGTTATATATCTTGGTTCATGACAAATTTTAAAAGGATATTGACGTCTCTTTAACTTTTATATTCAAAATCGAATTTAAAAATTATTTAAAAAAAAAAATTAAAAAAAATTTAACTGAAAATTCAAATCCTCCACATTTTTTAATGAGTAATGATCAATAGACGGGTTTTTGAACGAAAAAAAAAAATGTACAATAAATAAATGCCGCTTATAATAAATTTAATTGAATGTAACAAAAAATTTTAATGTAGAGGCGCACAATATGTTTCTTGTGCGCAACGATAGAAAATGTCAATTTAATAAATTTTTGCGATGGCGATATTTAAAAAAGCGATTTTCGAAAGTGCAATGTGTTGTATAACGGATATTAAGTACATATATATTAATACATTTATTATTTGTAATTATTTATATATACATTTATAGTGATATATGTGTATATGTTTATAATCATATATTGTAACAATATTTTTTGTTTGTGAAACCATTTTGATAGCAAATTTTCTTAATGATTGAAATGCAATAATTAAAAAAATGGCGTTGGGTGTGAAGAAACTGTTGTTACGAAAAATTTCTGTCACAAATTATCTGTTAGTGTTACCATATGATACTCAGATACACAAGATGACTAATTTTTGAATTCAGAAATAATTACCAAGAATATTACAAAACTGTTATACTAATATTTTAATAAAAAATAATAAAAATTTTAATAAAATTATTGTTTTGATTTTATTTATAAATATCGTTTGACCATATATTGAAAATCTTTTGTTTTAAAGGAAAAATTATTAAGTATTTTTTTTTACTTTTTTTTTGCTTAGATTTTAAAACTTTGAAGAGGTGTCGAATATATTGCCATTTTTCAAATATTAGTTATTAGTTATAGCAATAGTTAAATATAAAAATTTTTGGATATTTTTACTAATTTTGTTATTTTTGTTTTTTTTTGTGTCTTTACAGTCAAATAAACCAATAATGGAAAAAAGAAGGCGAGCGAGAATTAATAATTGTTTAAATGAATTAAAAACTTTAATTTTAGACGCAACCAAAAAAGACGTAAGTACCATTATTCTAAATTTAAAATATTTTCAGTTTTTTTTTTCTTCATCATAAACGGCAACACCCCCATAAAACTTTTATACTTTATATATCAATGTAACACCCCCATAATATTAAATGAATAAAAAAAATTTTTTTTTTTAAATACAATTTAAATTAATTGTTTTCCATTTTCTTCTTTTTAATTCTAATTTAATAGCCAGCACGTCATTCTAAATTAGAAAAAGCTGATATATTAGAAAAGACTGTTAAACATTTACAAGAATTACAACGTCAACAATTGGCTATGTCACAGGCTATTGATCCAAAAATTGTTAATAAATTTAAAGCTGGTTTTACAGAATGTGCAAATGAAGTTAGTCGTTTTCCAGATATTGATCCACAAGTAAAACGTCGTTTAATGCAACATTTAAGTAATTGTATAAGTGGTGTTAAATCTGAATTAGGTCAATTAAGACAAAGACAACAAGTACAACAACAACAACAGCAAACAATAAATGGTTCACAAACAAATATACAACAATCAGTACAAATACATATGTTACCATCACCACCAAGTTCACCAGAACAAGATCATCATCATAATCATCATCATTATCAACAACAAAATCATCATAATTTAACAAGACAACAACAACAGCAGCAACAACAAATTCATACAACTATAACTGGAACACAAATTCAAGCAACACCAAATGGTTATTTTTTACCAAATGGTGTACAAGTATATCCAACAAAATTATCTAATGGTACATTTGCTTTAATTTTACCACAACAACAATCACACCAATCAAATCATCAACAACAACAACAAATTTTAGTACAACAACAGCACGTACAACAACAATCTCAATTACCTATGTTAGTACCAATTCCAAATAGAACAGCATCAACTGGTTCAGCAACATCAGTATCTAGTAATTATGAACGACATTCACCAATAACAGTTCAACAACAACAACAACATTTAATTCATCAACAACAACAACAGCAATTACAACAATCTCAACAAATTCATTATGCACCACCTAGTCCAGCTAATTCATATGAAGCAATGGATTGTCAATATTCACAACCTCAACAACAACAACAACAGCAATCTCAATCATCAGTTATTCAACATGTATCATCATCAACATCATCGACATCATCTTCAAGACAATCACCAATTATGATTGATTCACAATATTATAATATTCAACAACAACAACAAAATAGACATCAAACATCATCAACATCATCATCACAATATGATGATATTGATGATGGTTCAGCACCGTTATCTTTAGTTATTAAAAAACATATTAAGGAAGAGGAACAACCATGGCGTCCTTGGTAATTATTTTTTTTTTTAATTATTTTTGTAGTAATTTGTAAATATAAATATTTATAATTATGTATGTATATTAGGGAAACAATATATTTTAGAATTATATTTTCAATGAATTATATAAACACGTACACACACGTATACATATACACACGCGCGCTCAGATACTTAATAAAAATATTTTGAAAATTATTATTGTATTGTTACCTATATTTTGTCAGTTATGACTTATTATGACATTAACATGTGTCAAAAATTAATTAATTTTTTTTTTATTTATGTTTTTGACATATTCAAAATCAAATATTGTACTTACATTTACATATCTTGTGTGTGCGTGTATTATCAGAAATTAAATAAAAAATTTTATTTGAACGTGAATTTTATTTTAAAAAAATCTTAACAACACACACAATATAAGGAAAACAAAGACTGACAATGTAAAAAAAAAAATATGAAAATAAAAAATAAATATAAAAGAAAATATTTTTTTTTTTATTTTTCTGGACAAAAACATAACAATAAGAAAAAATATAAATTCATTTTAATTTTAATAGCGTCTGACTTGCAATTATAATGATCAATTTCATCGGTTCCATTTAAAGCCGCAATAAAAATAAAACAATAATCTTAAATATTATTTGCTTTTTCAAGTTTAAATGTCAATGAAATTAATTGAACTCGTAATATATACAAAATAATTTATTTAAAAAAATACGCCATAATTATTCAAAAACAAATAAATTAAATATTTAAATCATGTTCTTACTTTGTACTTAAAATGTTTGTAAATTTCTAAAATGTAGAAAAAAGTAAATAAGTAAAATACAAAAGAATTTTAATCAAAGCACACAAATTTAAAAAAAAAAATATATGATCTTGTCAATGAATTTTTTGTTATAAAAATAAAAACAAATTAAAAAAATTTTAAAGGTCAAAAGGTTTATTTTTGACACAAGACAAAATATTTACTTACATCAAAATCATATGATAGATATGTCAAAAATAAAATGTCATATATTTTGAAAATAACAATTGAATATTTGACATACTCATTTGTAATCAATCACAATTAGCCATCAGATTAAAATACAAGTAAAATACCTCAAAATCAATTTAAGCAAACTGACCTCAATTTCTAAATTTTATTAAAATTGAAAATTATTTCAATTTAATTTAATTTTCATATTTCTTAAATTAATTTAATTTTCTTATTTCTTTAAATATTAAAAACAATAATTCTTTCTGAAATTAATGTCTAATTATTATTAAAAATTAAAATAGCTTCATTAATAGCTTATAAATTCAAAAATTAAAATTAAATTTAAAATTTTTAATAATTTTGTTCTCGCAATTTCAATTTTTTTTTTTTTATTCTTTTTGATTTGGCAAGTATTATACCTACTCCCAATTAAATTTTCTAAAATAATAAAAAAAAAATTAAAAGCTTATTACAACACCTCGACAAAAATTATTGTAATTGAGTTAAAATTAAAAAAAAAGTCATTAATTTTTATATACGTTAGCGGCATATTACAGATGGCGGCAGTTTACATAATAAGTATATTGCGTACAAAACACTACACAATGATATCATTCTGTGTGTGTATAGCACACATTTACTACACTCATTCTAATTTATATACGAATATATTAAAGTTTACCTTTAAATTAAAAATAAATATATAAAATTTTTATTGTATATATCATTGTACTTTATTAGTCGAACAATTTGAGAATTTTAAATATAAATGTAATGTTTATATAATACGTAACAAATTATACATATACACATGTATATGTATGTAAACTTCTTCTATTTATATTAATTGTGGCAATGATTCAGAAGGTCTTATAATTTAAAACGATTAAAATTAAAATTTTTTTTTATTTGCCCAATTCTTAGTTTTTATTTAATTTTTATTTTTTTTTTTTTTCAAAAAATATTTAATACATTAAATATTTTAGATAAGAGAACGAACCATTAAGCAATTTTAGGCAAAATATAGAACACATAAAATAAAGTAAGAAAATTAGAAAAAAAAAAACCTTTTAAAATTTTTTAATAATTTGTGTGGAATTTTTGAATGTTTTCTTTTTTTTCTTGTAAAATTCTTTCAATTTCAAATGTGCTATTAATAAAATAGCGTGCACAATAATTTTTTAATTGAATTGGTTTTAATTATATCTCTTTTAGTAAATGTTTAGTACTCAAAAATTCAATTTTTGATCAGCATTTTTAGCTCTTTTTCGATTTATTCTAAGAATGTTCTTAGTACTTTATTCACAATTTTTAGTACATTCATAATTTTCAATGACAATAATCTTGATATTTAAACTGCATTTAACTAAAATTTCTTTATAAATTTTATTTTTAATATTTTTATTTAATTTTAAATAACACTTCCATGTTGCTTTCTTAATTTAAATTATAAAGTCTAATGGAGTTCGAAATTTATGAAATATTTTTAAAAATTAAAAAATATTTACTGAATTTAATAAAAATATTTGTTGAATTTATTGTAAATGACTCGTAAATCATAATATTTTGTAAAGAAAAAACTTCATGAAACTCTAAATTTTTTTTTTGAAATCATTTAAAAACTTACTTACAAACGAAATCTTAAAATATAACAAGCGCGTAAACATTAAAATAACATTTTAAAAAAAGCAGAAAGCAAAAGTTTTTAATAAATTAAAACAAATAAATTTTTTGAGGATTTTTGAATTTTTTTTTTTGTTATTTTTTCCAAAAAAAAAAAAAAATGGAAAAAACAAAAACTAAACGTGTTCGTTATCTTTGACCCAAATTTTTGTATCTCAACTTAATAACTGCAATAAAATATCATTGAAATTTTAAAGAATATTTTTATTTACAAAAAAAAAAAAACCACAAGGAATTTAAAAATTTGAAGGTTTATTTTCTATTTTAATTACTTATGTATTTAGAGGATTTAATAAATTTATTGCAAATTTTTTTCTTTTAAATATTTTTGTTATTCTCATAAAACTGATATAAATAATTTTATTTAATATAAGAAATTTATTTTAATTGATTTTTTCTCACAAAATTCCAATAATAATAAAATCAATAAAAAAAGCATCACGTAGACAATTTGTATTTAATTGTATTCAAGTGGAATATTTAATAATATTTTAATAAATAAATTCTTAACTACGTGTACGTAATTGAGTTTGTCGTCATTTCATTAAATAAATAACTATTTTTTTTTTTTTTGGTATTCTATTCAAAAAATATGTGAAATTTGCTAAATTTATGACATCTATATGAAAGTAAAACAAAAAAAAAATTATTATTTGTATATTTTTTTTAAATTTATTTACATAATTTGTTTTTATTTGTATATTTACTTAAATACAATTATGTATACATAAGATTATAAGAAAACTGCAATATACACATATATTATATATGATTCTTATATAGGGTGGATAATATTTTGTCATTTCTAGTGACAGCCATTATCTGAGTAAATTCAAAACTGAGTATATTTTAAAAATTATGAAAAGAATTTCTCTATAAAATAAAAATTATAATTATTGAATTATATTTTAAAAAGGAAATCGTAAATAGCCCACCTTTAAAAACAAAACAAACAAAATAAATTAATGAAATTTAATTGTGACATTTAATTTTATTAAAAATAATTATTTAAATTTATATTTTCTTCATTTTAACAAATAAAAATTAAATACACATAATTATTAAATTAAAAAAAAATTAGATTTTTCGGTCAAAAGAAAACAAGGATTCTTGAAAAATTGTTTGCTTCTTAAAAAAAATATATGAAATAAATAATATTTTGTCGACAAAACTATACAGACATTTTGCCAACGCATTTAAAAATAAAATCGAAAATTTTAAATAAATTTATTAATTTTTTTTTTTGTTTTTGCTGCTTATCATAAAAATATTGTTTACGAATTTTTTTATACAAATATTTTTATTTTAATTCTTTTGTTCTAAAAATCCAAAAAAACAAGTTGATATTAAATAAATAATGACGTTAAATGACTGGTTTCGTAAAATTCTTTTGCTTTTTTTTTTCGGGAAAAAAAAATATTTTTTTTTTTTATTGTTATAGGTGGGAAGTAACATAATATTTATATATATACGCATACAATTCGCAAATATTTCATCCAAAAAAAATAAACAGAAATTTCCCCCATTTAAATTAAATATGAATTAAATTTAAATTTGAAAATAAAATTTATTTTGAGTTTTTTTTAATATTTTGCCAGCCATTTTTTAATATTAAAAAATATTTTAAGAAACGGAACAATAAAAATCATATTTCTTTTATAATAAATTATTAATATTTTTTTTTTTATTTTATTTTTAAAATATAGAAATTGTTTTTTTTTAGAATTCTATTTTAGAAAAATTTCTATTTTTAAAATTTTGAATATTTTTAAAAATATTTTATTTAATTTATTTGTTTTATTAAAATTTTTAATATTATTATTTTTATATTAATTTGCGTTTTTTTAAATTAAAGCATAAGTTACGAAATTTTATTATTTATTGAAATAATTTTAGTTGTTCATGAATTTTATTTTAACATAAGTAACAAATTCAAAATTTCATTGTATACCCTACAGTTCAATTATTTATTTAATATTTAATTATTAATCCCTTAATTATTATCCACAAAATTATAATTCGTTTAAATTAATTATTGAATTTATTGATCATTATAAATTGCAAAATTATAATTTAATTTTTAATTTAAATTCAAAATGAACTATAAGAAAATGAACATTTATATAATTCTAAAATATAAATAAATAATATCAAAAATAATATTACCTAGTAATGTAATATCATAAAAGAATATAAATTATAAAATTATAATTATGAAAATAATACATAATTATTATTATTATTGAAAACAGTCAAAAAAAAAATTATAGTCATTATATTAAATAATGTAAAATTATAAAGAATACAAAAAAAAATTAAATATAGTGGAGGATATCCTCCACTATATAAAAATAATAAATTAATTATTATTCAAAAAATTTAAAATTATTATTAAGAAAACCATAAAGAATGCTGTGAATAAGAATTAATGAAATGAAGAAAAAATATTACTTATAAAATGTAAAAAATATTAAAAATAATAAAAAAAAAAAAACGTAAAATTAAATTAAAACAAAAAATTAATGATCTTTTTAAATTATAACTATTATGTAACAAACAAAATATAAGACTAAATTAATTTAATAAAAATTATTTTAAAAAATCCAAAAAAAAAATATGTATTATTTTGTAGGAATTAAAAATTGTCTCAAAATTGTTAAGACATTAAAAAAAACAAAAATCCGACAATAATCACAAAAGTCTTCCCAAATAAAAAAAACACACAATAATTTTGGAAATAAATTAAAATAATTAATTATTATTTATTGTGTAATAAATTTTATTAATAATTAAAATATTTTTTATTTTTTTTTTTTGTTTAAAAAATCCTTCCAAAAATTTTAAATTTATTTCTTATACTTATATTTATAAATAAAATTTAATAATAATTAATTAAAAAAAAAATAAAAACTACCTATTATATATATGTAAACATATATAAATTTGTTAACTATTATAATAATTATAAATAATAAAAAATAAATTTAATTAATTTTTAAAATAAACTTAAAATTATATAATTAATATTTTAATTTAATTTTGTATTTAAGTTCTCTATTCATTTGATTATTAATTGTATAATATTTAT